GGGAAGGGGAAAGAAGAGGAGGAGGGAGAGGAGAAGAATTGCTTCAACTGGACTCCGGGGCGTGGTCTCCGATCAGTAACTGCGCAAGTGGTCCGTTGCGGCGGGATTGGGAAAGCTTCTGGCGCGCGCCTACCGGCCGCATTAATCCTCCAGCGGTTAGGACCCGCAGAGCCGCAGCCAGTCAGTCACCCCCCTTCCAATTCCCCCATCATCCGCCGCGGTTGTGAAGGCTTTCCTTGTGTCTACACCTTCGTCAACCCTTCTTGTTCACTTTCTCATTAAAAACGTTCCAACCTCGTTGCTACTACGTCGCTCGAAAGTATGGCGGAGGTGGACGTTGGTGCGATACCCGTCTACAAGAGCTTGATCGACGAGCTCCTGTCGCGCGCCGAACATGCAAAACCAGATGGACAAATTGAACCCCCTTTGACCGAAACGCAGCTCGGAGACTCATTCTGGCTTATCCAAGGCGAGGATGCGCAATCTGTCAAGAAGCTAGGCCAGCAGACCCAGCTTGCCGCGGTCGAAATTGCATTCCGAGAGAAGTTCTACAGCCTTTTGGTATGATCATCACGTTTCGCGTCGGGTATAGAGGTCCTTGCTAAAACCGAATTGCCTACAGGCCACCACGTCAATCGACCAGCCCTCGTTTATCCAAATCTGGAATCTCCTTGACATCATCTCGATCTTCTCCGACAACGGTCAGACCCCCTATTCTGTAGCTCGCCTCGACGAGGATCCTGACTGTGCTTAGAACAATGTGAGCCGGGCTTGATCTTTTGGTTGATTGAGGAATTGCTCGACAGCCAGACCATTGACGGATGCCGGAAGGTTTTCGATTATCTGGAGTCGCGAAGAGAGCGCAATACAAAGGTAGGATTTGGATTGCCGGTTAAAGTAGCCTCGTCCCAAGTGCTGACGGCTCGCAAAGAAACATTTCAAACAAAAAAGCTTAATCATCCTGAGATCCTGCAATGAGCTGTTACGGAGGCTCTCAAGAGCCGAAGATACTGTCTTCTGTGGGCGTGTATTCATCTTTCTATTCCAAAGCTTCCCACTGGGAGACAAGAGTGCCGTCAATCTCCGGGGTGAGTACCACACGGACAATGTCACGACTTACGATGAGATCGTCAAAGCCGCCGTCAGAGGGGGTGATGATGGTGACGTGGAAATGTCGGACGATAAGGAGGAAGAAGCGCCCGGAGAAGAAACCGAAGCCGTGGGTGCTGCTGCAGCTAGCGACTCGCAAGCAAATGCGCAAGAACCTCCTAGCATGCCCAGAGTGATTGTCTCCAAGGCCAAAGAGCAGTCCGAGGATAAGGCGGTTGACTTGGATGCTCTCTACCCGATATTCTGGAGCCTGCAGGCCTACTTCTCTGCCCCAACCAAGACATTCGACGCGCAACACTTCACAGCCTTCAAAGCCGGGCTTGAAGCCACACTCGCCACCTTCAAGCACGTGAACACGGATCTCGAGACTTCCAGCAGCATAAAGACTTCGGAAGAGCGTAAATCCAGCAAGCGCAAACGAACCGCAGATGGACAAGAGATCGCGAGCAGCTTCAATCCCAAGTATCTAACAAGCAGGGACTTGTTCGACCTCGAGGTACGTGGCAGGCCGATTACTACTGCGCAGAATAAGGCAGTCTGACATTCCGGCAACAGGTGAACGATACCGCCTTTCGAAGACACGTGCTTGTCCAGGCCCTCATCCTTCTGGACTTTATGCTCTCACTTACCGCAAAAGCCAAAGCCAAGCTTGCCGACTTGACTAACAAATCAGTCTTGTACGGGTTCTTGCTAAGCGAGGAAGATGTACCTCCACCCCTTCCTTCTTGCCATGCGGTGTTCATCTAGCTCGGTCGCTGACAGTCATAGGCTAAATGGGCGGTCAAAATACGGAAGTCCATCGAGGAGTATCTGCAGGAAGGTGCCGGCGGCAAATTCTACTACCGAATGGTGGACACCGTTCTTTCGAGAGACAAGAACTGGGTGCGATGGAAAGCAGAAGGTTGCCCGTTGATCGAGAGGCCGGCTGTTTCGGTGTCCGAATACATAGGTGCTCGTGAGCATGCGACTAGGTCCTATGCAAACAAACGCCTTCGCCCCTCGCCTATGGGCTCGCTCAGCCTCCAATTTCTCTCCGAAGGGGAATCCCAGGCGGGCATGGAAAGGCTAAAGGATCCGGAAAGGTAGGCGCTTCGAGATGTCGGGGAAATACACTAGCAGTGTGCTGACGTTGACATGTAAGATTCTCGGTCCCTGCTGCGGACTCCCTTATGATGAGTATCATGGACGACGAGTTAGATCTCGACCTTGCTCAGACGAAAGAGGAAAAAGATTACGCTCTGCGGTCAAAGGCGAGCAAGACCTGGCGCATACTACGGCTCTCCGCAAAAAGCAAACTCGCGGCATTTGACAAGATTGAGGACGGCAAAAACCTGAAAATCCTCTTCGCCACGGCCCAGCCATCAGATGGAACGCCCCAGACCCTGGAAGGTACCCCTCAGGCCTCAGAAGTCACGGCGTCGGGGAAGCCGTCGACGGAGGGCGAATCCGCTGGACCGGGGCAGGACCTTGGAGCCACGACTGGGGAGGATGGGAACACAACCGTCGCCACCGAACAGACTCTGGCTGATCCCAAGGATGCAATTGCGCCAGACACTAAGGTGATGTGAAGAACGCCACGTATTCGCATGTACAGAGAAATTGAGGCACAAACCCACCTGTCCTTGAGTCTGATTGGCGCCCTCAATGTCTTTTCCTACGATCTTACCTCTGCTCTGAACTTTGTGGCTGTATGCATCCGTATCACCACGCTAATTGCGGGAGATGGGGTGGGAGGAGACGATGTATGGTGATTATCAGTATCTGTGTCAATGAGCAACAACAGATACACTCGGCCTCCAAGCCACCGGTCATCTAGCAGGTACGTTGCATCTCTGGCCTTGAGTCAGCTGGGCTAGCGCCAGCCAGGATTGGGAGGACCAAGCAGGTGATGGATCGCATAAAAAAGCCGGTTCTTGTCACGAGGATCCAGGAAATTACGGCGGGGGTGCGGATGCGTTGATTGGCCTTTTAGGACTCGCTGCCGGTGTTCTTCCGGATCGTTAAGGCACAGTAAAGTACCAACTAGTACCATCCGTTGGGTTAGGTTAGGTCCGGTGAGATAGGGGTTGGTTGGCCTGGAGCCTAGGAAGCATGATGGGCACTCAGTCATGTGTGTCTCCATCTTACCTGGTTCTTGGATGGCCCTTATCCTGTTCGAGGCACTTCTCCTAGCCCTGTGGCAACAGTACGGCTGTCCACTGCATGGTTGGACTACTTCCTGTTCTCTATCCACTCGTCCGAAAAGTCACCCCTCTCCCCTGGGCTCCTGTTTGTACCCGCAAGAAGGAGAATAGGGGGCGGGGGCGCATCCATGACACTTGCCACATGTAATTCGGCCGAGTGTTACATGTCTGAGGCATGTGGCCAAAGCATTGGAGGTAGGGAAGGGGCTAGAGAGAAGGGATGATGGGATGCTGAAGGAAATAGATGGGTGCAGCCCACCGGAGATTGAAGGTTCCTTCAGGCATCCACTGCAGCCCTAATGGGGAAGAATCTCCTGGCGGTTCGCATAATGAAGGTTCGAAAGGTTCTGGGAGAATATCTGCAAGCGGCCGAATCGGGCTCCTCTCGGCGATAGAGGTAGACAAAGCACGAATCAGCAATTTATTTTCTTAGATGGTGGTTATGACCCAATGGTTTAAGCTATGAGGGGACATATCCCTCAATGATCAGCAACTTTAATTACCTGGAGAGTTCCTGCGTCATTCGTCATTCGTCAAGCTCGGTCCCGTTGTTCGAAGGAAGGAGGGATGGGAAGTCATTAGGGCGATAATGCTTGACACAACCGATGACAGCATGAATGGGTGTGGTTCTCTTGTCGAAGATGTCATGCGAGATTGCAGTGTCATGACTGGGGCCAGTGCGCATCAACGTGTAACTTGAGGTTTTATTAGATGCCCCGCTCTTGTTCATTAAGCTCGATCCATAGCTTAATTTGGTAAAGTGATCGGTAAATTTTCACGAACTGTGGGATTTCATCCTCGCTCGGAGGCAGAACGAAGTTCTAGGAGCTCGCCGACTTGCCGTGGTCTGTAGTGAATAACGAAGACGAGAAAATTGCATAAAATATGGATGAGGTTGAAGTGCCTGCTGGGGTCATGCCATCGGGGCCATGAGAGTGATTGCACGTCCGATTTGCCCAGCGATAGAGCCAAGAACTGACATCGCACATCTTATACTTTCTTGTTTGAGTGCGCGTCCTTATCGCCACATTGCGATGTAGTATGATCCAGTCTGGATGATTAAGCCAAAATATGGGCATCACAAACATGTATACATGAAGTCAGTTGAGGATCTTGTGCAACCTAGACCCATGGCGGAATCGATCGACTGTCCTCCGTAAAGATAGGGTTACGATACGGGATGCCACGCGCTTGCCGACACTTGTTGCTGGGAACCGACAAAGCCGTTCATGACTGATTCACCTGTCATGGTCGCGAGTCAGGGATGTCTTGGACTCTGCATTGACAGGTCCTCTGCCGCTTGAGCCCCCTTGTCATGGTTTCCCCTTTTCTTCGTGTCATCAATCTAATTCATCAATGTGATACCGTCGTAATCATTGTCATCAATCAATTCTTGATCATTGATAGGCCGGGGTCCGTAGCAAGCAGATCCCGCATCAAGCTTCAGGGGGACCAAAGGGGAGAGGCGGTTAGCCGAACGATCTCGATCCAGGCACGGCGTCATCTAGAGGGCTCTATGTAATGTATGTATGTATGTACGGAGACTGCGATACTGTTGTTTACTCCGTGCGTCTGTGTGTTGTTGATTTATCGATGGCGAGCCCATCTCGGTCAGGATCATCAATGAACAATCCATGGAAAAGGCCGTTATGCACGTTTCAAGCAAGCCGATGACCCCCGCACAGACCAATGACACGGTAGGACCAGCCAGACCATGGCGTCAGGACGACCAGGAACCTGCATCGGCAGACTACGGCCAGCGATGAATGGGTTCAAAGCTGGCTGGGTTGGGTGCTTTTCCTGCTCGGGACAACCCGAAGCTTCCCAGCTTTACAGGGCTTAACGTACCGTGCGTAGTTTTTTCGTTCGCTTGGCTGTTCGCCTGGCTGGCAGTGCCCGACCGTTCAGCCCGCCTTTCGCACTTTTTCCCACCCCACTGGACCCGATAAATGTCTTATTTTCATATTGCAAGGCCGCTTCACTGCTTGGACAACCACCAAACGGCGGTCCCCGGGAGAGCTTGCGTAATGGGATGCAGTCTGTGGAAATTGTGGAAACTGTGCAGACTGCAGACTGGAAACGGGCGCTTCCTCGAACCCCACCCGTAAGACCGATGGTCGTTCATTTCCACCAGGGATCAGTCCCGAGATCCTATCGTCGATGCAAGCATAATTCCCCCGGGAACTGGGCATGCCACCCAGCGACCCAGTTCAGGCTGGCTGACGGGCTGAAGTTGAGTAAGATTGAAGGGGTTTCTTGGCATCACGCGAAGTCTTGGGAGAGATTAAAGTTGGTCCTCCCCAATCTCTTCGCTATCCACTCGGTTCATTCGATCCGCCTCGATTTGCTTTGGGCCTCGGACTCTGGAAATCTTCTTTTCTTCCCCGCACGGTTGCTACACCAGGTCGCTTTTCGCTCCCTGGTGGATTTTTCTTTTTCTCTTCCGCCCTGCTTGACTCTTGTAGCTGGGATCATCCCTCTTCTGGGTCCTCGGATCCGCAGTAGTGCTTAGATTACGGTGTCGTTGCCGCTGGTACTGGCAGTGGACTGGGGGATTGGGGAGAGCAGGTAGGTCCCTGACACTGAAGGGGTACTCTTTTGTCCCACAACATGGCGATGATCTTGCCTTGCTGAGCTGAAGAGATCATGCCACACACAGCTGTTCTCCACGCTTTACATTTCCCGTGGGCAGAATCCATCACATAGGATCCACAGCTTTTGGCATCGAAAGGCGAATTTGTAAAGGAGGTTGATGATGGAGTAAAGGTGGAAACGAGGATGGAAAAAGTGGAGGGGGAAGGGAGAGGAGAGGGGAGGGTGGAAGTCTGGAAGACAATAATCAAGACAATCAAGACAAACATGGGCCATGGGCGTGTGAGATGGCATGGCCGCATGGCAGAAGGATAAGATCAATGGAAAAAAGTCAAACACGAACAAACGTCCGCGGCAGGAGCCGAATACGGACGGGCCCATCCCAAGCCTTGCCCCTTCTTTTCCCTACCTACTCATGTAGTAGGCTTCTTCTCTTCCCTTCTTCCCCAGCGATATCACCAAGCGATATCACCGGATCAAGTGAAGACTCCGAAAGACCTATCTAGTGTCTACTCCATACTCCATACTCCGTACTCCGTACTGTACTGTTTGACAGACAGACAGATAGTCAGTCAGTCGGCTACGGTACTCTCTACCTCGGGAAAATTCTCTCCGTGCCGCTTAGATTTGAAACAGTCTGTGCTTCGGTGGACAGCTGCAACCAATGTATTCATGTACCAGAACGAGCATCACGGCGCGAGGTTCGCGATCAGTTTTTCGAAAGAGGGCGATAATGCAAGGAACATCTGCAGCAGATATCCAGCTCAGGGGGGAGAAACGGACAAATCTGACTAGAACTAACAACAGGAGGCGATCGAACTACTGAGTACCGTACTATACAGTGTACGTACATACACTCTCATTCCCCGACTTTTGTCTTAACCGTCTTAGGTCAAGTAGTGAAATTGGTTTCATCTTTGCCTCGCAATGATGAAGCACATCATACCCTCTCCTTCCGCTGCGCCTGGGCTCGGGTTCGCTTCCATGTGGCGGCCTATCTCGTCTAGATGACATTTTTTCCTTGAATTGTTTTTTTCCAATCCTCTATTTTTCTCCTGTCTTGTATCTTATTATCGGCTCGCTGTAGCTATGGTACTGTAAAAGATTTGGAGTACTCTGTAGGCTGTAGTCAATCTGGTTGATCTGCATTGGGTCCTTTCAACAGTAAGAGTTCAAGATATATATTCAATATGGCAACTCTGACCTGCGTTCAATGACACCAGCGATTGCTGTACTCCGTACGATGCATGCCCTTCCGGCAGCTCTGCGCCATTGATCACTCTGCACTGTGGCTTTCTGGTCTACCTGGCTCTTACCGTACCTCAAAATTGCTGCTGACATACATATACGGAGGCGATGAGTAGACCGACCCTTATTAGGCAATTGGTCAGCGCATCTCATATCTTCTCCGAGGCTCCTACTGATCGTATCGCAATCCCCACACTGCTCACATCAGTCGTCCACTATTTTTCCTCTTCTCGCAACCGATGGTACTCGGTACTCTGACCAGAGTCAGTAGCGGTAAGATAGATCGATGATGTCGAGGTTGCGATTGCTGCGGGCTCGATTGTATGATTTGTATGATTATCATGAGTAAGTATTAGCCAATAGCTTCTTCAGCCTCTATCTTTAATGGTGCAGGTAAGGATTTGCTTTGCCCCACCGGAACTTTTCCACCTGTCGGGTTCATTCAATCCTCCAAGCAATCAAGTCCTTCCGCCTTTTTTTTTTTCTCTTTCTTCCTTTTTTTTTTATCATTTACGTAGCCTAACACGGTTTTGAATTTCGGTTATTTTATTTTATCCTTATATCTTTTTTTATTTATTTTTCTACAATTTTTAAACTTTCTTCCCGCCTCTACTTTACTGACTAGAACCACAAGACGGTCATATCTGTCTTATCATGTATTTGGGTGACTTTCTCCAGTTTCATTGTCATCTCTCTGTGCTCGATGTTGGTTGACTATGTACAGTACTGTAGATATTCTCTTGGATGACCTATTTCCGGATGCTTCCACAAGCTATCGGTATATCCTGAGCACTTAGCACACTTAGCAGTGAGTTGGTAGCCTGGAAAGGTTTAGTAGCGTGTTGGCGTATACGCCATCTCAAGACGGTCTTTACGAGACTCATACTCATAGTGAGAGTAGTGTAAGACCGTTTATTACCGCCAACCAGACGACGTACTGTACATGTAAGTGAGCAGCTTAGCTGCAAGTCTCTCTCGACATTTTTATCAATCCCACATTCGCTTGAGTAGCGAGCGAGGGTCGCCTTGTTCCTGCCAGATCTCCACTGCTACTGCTAACTTGTTGCGTTACTTGTACTTGCGTACGAGTATGATCCCCGCTCTCTGGCCGCCTGACCTTTGCCAAATTCTTCCTCATGTTGCTTCCTCATTCTTCTTACCGAATATCTTCCGGGTTGTTTCATGCTCGCGTTAGAAGTGGAGCGAGACGAGCTTCGGTCTCGCAATCCGGCCGTTGTCTAGTGGCTCCCGTTCTGGTCCGGCTCATGGAACAGGTGGAGACTGAACACAGGGAGAATGAGCGAGACAGAGGAAAGGAGTAAGGAACAAAGAAGGAGGGAGACAGAGACAGAGACAGAGTGAAAAAAAAAAAAAAAAAAAAAAAAAAAAAAAAAAAAAAAAAAAAAAAAAAAAAAAAAAAAAAACCCCCTTCTTTTTCGTTTTGGGTTTCTTTGTTCTCGACAATTTCCTTCTATTTTTCCCTGATTGACTGCGTGGTTCTAGCGTCAAGCTTGATTTAGGAGTTCAGAGAATTGAAATGGTCTCCGTAGTTGACTCGGTACAGTACGTACAGTTCTGGTGCAGTGTGCATGGTCCGCCTGGTGGCCCTGACTGTCCTGACTGTCCTGACTTGTTTTGCTTTGGGGTCACTAAGTGGATGACTAAACCGACAGCAGCCTCGGTCTAAAGACTAGCGAGGGACACTAACCCGCTACTAACCACACTAACTGCACTAACTCGACTAACTGGAGTCTAGCCGGTACCTTTTCCTTCCAAGTTCTCCTTCTCCAGTTGCTTCGGCCGCGAGAGGCTTGAAAACTCGGCGTCCGTTCTGCATTTATCTTTCTCCGCAAAACCCTGTCTGACCTGGACTTTTTACCGCTTGACCTCTCTCTAAGCCTTCTTGGGCTAAGGGACATACATACAAGAAGTGTTAGAGGCTGGAAATCGTTGCCCCCCCCTCCTCCGACAACCTCCTCTTTTCCTGGAATAGATACCATGGCACCCACCATACCGTCATCCAGTACGATGTACCGAGGAGTCTGGAGTACTGCCAGACTACTAGCTCCCCCCTTGGTCGTTACTCGTCAACTCTCGATGTGACAGGAATCAACCTGTCCGACAATGACGCTACAAGCAGCTACAGAACGAAGATATCATCATGAGAGTCAAAATGATGACGACGATGGCAACCTCGGTGTCTTTTTCCGCCCTGCCCGCCTGGCTCGGTGGAGACCGGGCGGAAATGCACTTCCTGACTTTTAAGAGAGCACACACACACACACACACACACACATTAACAATACGAACGCCCGTCGAGAAAAAGAAAAGCCCGGTACACTTTCTGACCGGTACCTGAGATGACAGTCTGGTAAGGTTATCGCTTCAACCAGTATTTTTGCTGGATCGTACCCAAGATGCGATGACCCGATGGACGGTTTGTCGCCCCGTCTCCACCTCGAGGATTTTTTTTTTTCCTCTCCAGAGCCGCGGTATTTTCCTTTCATGACAAGACGACGATCTAATTTCCTGTCGGTCTTATACGATTTGACATTGATTAGATTCATTGCGTATTGTTCACGCTGAAGAGGAGATGGAGGGGGGATCTCGATCCGCTCAAACTCCCTTTAATGCAGTCAATCTCCCTCTCCATTCTCCGTGATAGTAGCCCCTGTCTAAGGTTCCCCTGGCTAGCTCCTCAGGTTGCTTGCTGGTTGCCCCCTCTCGCTGTTTCTCACGTGTCAATTGTTTCACACCACCGGACTGTTGGTGCCATGGTGGCTAAGGTGGGTGGGGATATCGCCAAGTGGCTCCCTAACCTAATGACCCCCCTCCCTTCCTGTGTCTCGATGAGTCGATCCATGCCCGGTGTCCGGCGGGTTATGGAGCAGCCAACGCCCGACTAGTGCTGTCGGCAGCACTTCCACATGGTGCGTACCGCCGATTGCCATCTTTACTGTCGCAAGGAGAAGACGGCACACTGTGACTGGATGAGCCAGGTCGATAACCAGGGTCTATTCGACCCTTTCCTACTGCGGTTGGCTGACGACCAGGATGACCGGTGGATTCGGCACTAGGAACGACCTGTCCCAGACTCTCTGAATGACCCGCACGATGCGATGCAGAGGTTGCGGGCGCCGGTTCCACGTCGGAAATTTTACAATCAATGAGGAGCGCGGGACATGAATGGCGTAGGAACGGTTGACGATTGTTCTTCCCGCCTCATTCATACCCTGCGTGAGCTCTGGGGCGATTTGCTCTCCCGTTGGACCTGAAGAGCCACGCTCTTCCATGATCCTCTGCATCATTCGTCCGCAGGGCTGTCAGTCCCTCTTCCGCATATCACGCCTGTAGGGAACGTCCCCGTCTCGACCCTTCACCTTGCCACTTTACAGTGTCCGTCAGATTTGGCATTCTACATGGATACTTTCTACACTCTGGGCCATTCCCATCTACCGATTCTATTCTCATAGTCACTGCACCACCTCCCACCACGTATTGCCTTCATTGATATCGAATTCCTGCTCCTCACTTGTAAGCCGAAATCCCAGTCAACGCTTGTCTTGCGGTGTGCTATTTTACGGGCCATTGGTGCCTCGGAGCGTGGTCATCTCAGGCTCCTTCGTTGGTTAGGACCGTGTCTGATGACGACGTTCTCCAGCAAGTGTTCCAACTACGGTTACAACTGCTGCTGTCATTGCTGTGGTTGCTGACTAGTCGACCACCCCCCGAAGATACTACGACGTCGACAGCAGCCAGACTGAATTGGATCCTCCTCCTATCCATTGTGGTAGCATCCCCCGGTTCTCCCCAGCCCGTTTTGGATTCCCACTTTCACCCTCGTTCCCACCTTCATTGTCACTCCGGTCCTGATCCTGAATGGCTAAGTAGGCGCTACGCCTCCGGAGGTTTAGTTGACAATCGTAGAATGGTCTGGGATCTCCGTGTACCGAACCTTCAAGCTGTGGCCCGTTCCATTCAATTTCCTGTTTTCTTACGCTCGTTCCTGTCGGTCTTAGTTTCATTTCCCTCATTCTTTTGAGTTTGTTCTCCGCGTTAGCAGCTGGCATCTACCTATCGTTTGTTATAACACCCTGTACGAGGACCTGAAGATTATTCGTCCCTTGCCCCCCTTCCCCCTCCCCCCTCCTCTCTCTTTCGTCCTCTCAGCCTCCCCTCACTCGTTCGTGGGAGGAGCTTGCTCATCGTGTGCGCTGCTGCATTACTAGCACGGTTTTGTGCTTGCGGTGGCCAACCTGAAAGTGGATCTCTCGCACTGGCCGGAGGTGATCAGGGCCTGCATTTTAACGTCCTCCGTTATTTCCACTGCCCGAGATCGTGCATTCGTTACCCGCTTGGGCTAGGCACCGTTTAATCTCTTCTATAACCTTCCTACCCACTGTCCGGTAACAATCCACCCCCTCTCCGGTTGAATCCTGGACCCAGCAAAGGGATCGACCTTTCATTTCTTGCCGTTCGTCAGTGGTCCTAGCGGAGGCCGAGAATCTCCTTTATCGCCCCGGAGTGTAAGTCAAGGGGGAGATCATTACTAGGGTAGCGCTGTCGTTCATTTGCTGTCGCTTGCCCGCCGTCCAAAGTCCACGCTGCTGTGTGTCGACTACTTGCTGCGTCTCACACGCAAAGAACTTGCCATTTACTCCTCTTTTCCTTCGTGTCTTCGACCCGTCCTCGGAGATCCGGTGCATCTTCAGCAAGCGCCCCGATAGCTCGTGCAGACCCACTCTGTCATCCCTGGTCTGGCATCTGGGTTGCAAGTTAGAGTCAGTCTATATCTGCGTTCGGAGCTGCAGTACGCCTGATCTCTTCCACCTTCAGCATAACAATTGTTCTTTCTATACTGGTCCACATCCTCTGCTACCATGTCAATCAGCGGGCCCTGTGTTTGGTTGTCCTCATTATCACCACCTTCTACTTCACATCTTCCCGGCATCACCAACCATTGGTCGACAGCTTCTTGGAATAGCAGCGAGCAAGTCGCACCGAAGCCGAGGGCTATCCCGTCTAAATTGCCCGGGCCGTGGGAGAGAGAAGGCGAACCTACAAAGACGCCTTCGGCCGACATGCAGCCCGCTGTGATTAAGGCTGAGAATGCCTTTCCAGCTATTGCTGCCGCCGGCTCATCTAGCCCAGTCAGGCCCATTGGGGGCACAAATCCCCATAATAACTTAGTGAACCACAACACAGGCACGGAAACGGAGTCATTGGTTCAGATGGGACAGGGGAAAATCAACCAGAGCGGACCTCACCATCCACATGCTGAAGGAGCCGACGTTTCACAGAATGCAAAAGAGACAACACCCGAGTTCAAACTTGAAGAAGCGCATGACAAGGAGAAAGGAGATGGAGATGCCGCAATGGTTTCATCGGATGAAGGAGCTGCGTCGTCCGAAAATGGCGACAAGAAACAGTCACCAGATAAGCACGACAAGAAGAAGATGAAGAGATTCCGGTGCGCAAGTCATAGATATGGACCGTATTCGCCGTGTTGCTAACAAAAAAACGGCAGACTGACCCATAATCAAACCCGCTTCTTGATGAGTGAATTCACCCGTCAAGCACACCCTGATGCTGCCCATCGAGAACGGTTGTCCAAAGAGATTCCCGGCTTGACGCCACGGCAAGTTCAAGTTTGGTTCCAGAACAGGTATACACCGCCACACCTGAGCTTCATTATCATGCAGCTGTGAGGCTGACACTTTCCATGCAGACGGGCGAAGCTCAAGCGACTCACAAGCAACGACCGGGAACGTATCCTTAAATCCAGAGCATTGCCCGATGACTTCGATACAACCCAAGTGCTACGGACGCCATTTGATCACAGAACAACCTCAGAGGCACCTGTTGCGTCTCCCCAATTTACATTCACTTATGGCAAGGATACTAACGATTTGAAGATGCTGCTTACCGATGGGATTCCTCGGAATGATGACGATTATGTGATCTCGCCCCTCAGCTCAGCCTCGACAACGAATGGATTCCCTTCAGCTGGACCGGATCGACACTTTAATGATTATACACATACAGCCGCCATGGCGAATCGGGGCGCTCATACACCTCTTACCGACATGAACCGACATAACCGCGGCACGTTCCCGTTCTCCAGATCCAGCAGCTTTTCCGAGGCTTCGTTTCACAATGGACTTCACTACCCGGGGCGATATTCAAGGCCCGGGCTTGAGCCGCTGGTTCATCCGAGCATGGCATACAGTCGTCGCCCCTTGGAATATGGTATCAATAGGTCTGCGAACGGTATGGTGGTAGGGTATGATCAACAGCGAGCCATCGAGGGCTCTGTATCCCCGACTGGACAGCCGGATCAACAAGCTCACTATAACGTCGATGGGCATAGTAAGTTCTTGCGAACCACATTTTCCCATGACATCATCGGGCATTAAGACTAACGAGGATGGCGATAGACCAGCAGGCGCACAACTACCAATCCCCATTAGCCATGCCGGCACCCAAGGCCTTTGGCAGCATTGACATGAATGCACATATGCAACAACATGGGAGGCAGATACCCGCCATGCAATCCATCCCGGTCTCGGAGGCGCCCGACTACCGACCCTATTCATATGATCACCACCAATACCACATGAATACCGCCATGCCATATAGCCAAGCCAACGCCTCCAGCATGAGCCTTCCCGCCTCCTTTCCGTCGGAAGCCAATAGTGTTTCCCAAGGACCGGTGGTCAGCACTGCAGAAGACCGAATCAACAATCCTCCGCAATTGATCGATCCTTTGAGGGCCAAATTTGGCAACCAGACCTTCGAATACGCCAACTACCTCTAACCCAATGGCCAATGGCCTACTCAGAAACATCCTTTCTATCCTTCCCTCAACATACGCCGCCCTTTAATCTGCCTTGTTCTTCATACCTATTTAATCGTTGCCTTCAACCGCTCCTCCCATTACCTCTGGCGTGCATTGCACATATCGGCATTTCGTTCGCCTGCCGGAATATATACATATTGTCTTGATCCTAATCATCGTCTTGGCTTGCTACTGTTTTGGTTTCGTCACAAAAAGAATTTAAAGGAAAAAGGGGGGTTTCATCACTGCATTCCGGATCCCATTTCTCCAAGCTGGGACCGGACGTTCCATGGCGTCAAAACTGCTTTTTTCTGATTTTATTCGCGAGGGCCTTCCGTTTAGCCCCGTTGCTTCTATTTATTGTTTCATTTTAGCATGCGTCGTGCCTTTGTCTTGGATTTGGGTGGCTTCCCCTGGGTTTTGTATGTATACAACTCTTAAATTCTAGTCTAATTATCTGGATTGCCGTCAATTCTTGCCTACTATTTGCACAACTGCGGAGTCCGCACTCCATCACATTGAGCTGAGACGACTCTGGGCGCGGCAGATTATACGAGTACATGTAGGTAGTGAGTACGTCATGCACCAGTGGCCTGATATTAATGTGGAGCCAGATTGCTTACTTCTGAGTACTACGTACTTAGTAATGTGTAATAATGCTGCAGCCATGCAGATGCAGTGGCATTCACAGATCGCCTGAATTGTTTGGTCCAATGACAGCCGTAGGAATGAGCAGGGCCATAAAGCCTCCAGGCTGGCAGGTTCCAGATACGTTATAGTCATCCAATGAAAAGAGATGTAAAAGCAATCCTTTCTGAAGGTCACTAAGTGGCAAATGCCTACCAGCTTGCGAGTATTACAAACCCAAGCATTCTGTGTTGCTGGATTGATTTTTGTCTCTGTGGTAGACGGTCGAATCAAAGATCGGCGAATGCAACTGCGGTCACGGGACTTCACAGAGGCTCTTGCCAGTCAACCAATCAGCCGCCGCTGATTGCCAATCATGGAATCTACAAAGTTGAACGACGTTGAATATAAATACTGTTGCTTCCCTGCAACGAATCATTCAACCATCATCATCGAGAGCCTCAAATACTCAAATACTCAAGCTACCAATCTTCCACTCAACGATCACTTCGTCTCGGAACACTGCGATCGCGTCTTCGTGTATCAAACCTCAGATCAACCCAACCGACACCTACCCGTGACGTCATTGGTCCATCCTCACTTTCTCTACCACCCTCACTCGGAAACCCATCTTTTGTCTTCTCGACCCTCAACTCCCACCACCAACAGTCAAAATGGTCAACCCTGCTTCCACCTGCTGCAAGACCTCCGGTGACGGTAGCTGCGTCTGCGCCGCTCAGGCCAAGTGCTCCTGCGGCAAGGAGAACGCCCTCCACTGCACCTGCAACAAGGCCTCGTCCGAGAACACCGTCTCTGGGCCTCGCTGCTCTTGCAGTATGTTCTGCCGCCCCCCCAACAGTCCGTATCTTTTCTTCTGAAACTAATACCATGACATCAGGAGCCCGCCCTGCCGGCCAATGCACCTGTGAGCGTGCTCCCAGCGAGAACACTCCCGTTTCGGGCGATGCTTGCCCCTGCGGACAGAGATCTTCCAGTAAGTCCAGAGCCAACCTAGAAGCGGTTACAGAAACATCAGCTAACTTGGGTTCTCTCAGCTTCTTGCACCTGTGAAAAGGCCGCTGCTGTGGACGCTGCCGCTGAGAGCAACGAGATTGACTTCACCACCCGCGCTTGATCTTTTGACCTTCTGATTGAGTCAATCTTTTAAGTTTGCCTTATTCTTTCTTCGGTGGGCCTTTGTTTTTCATCATAGCATGGCACGGTTTGGGGATCTGGAGTTTTCATTCTGGAGTTTGATTGGGTGGCCTTTTTTTTTTCTTAATTATGAAGGGTGGTAGTGGCAGTAGTAGCATGGGGTACTTTTCTCAAGGATGAGATTGTATTACAATGGTATTAATGGGCTCGAGTCCTGTGAAACATTACTATTTGAAGTTCGGTTCGTTCTGCGTTGCGTAGAGATTGGTTCGCATCATGCTCGCTCAGCTAGTAGGCTGCATGCAATATGGCCCTTGAAAGGGTCGAAGCGACTAATAAGGATAAGAAGAGCAACTGAGTAGAGTATAAGTATGATCCACACGGACCATCATACGTAGTGGCAGGGGGAACACGGGCACACATGCCGAGGCAGGGAGGGGGCTGCCCGTCTGGGTGTGAAAATCTCCCTTGTCCCCGCCGGGATGCAGACCCTAGGATCCGATAAGGTTGCATCCGAAATCACTAGTCACAACGGTTCGTGCGTCAAGTAGATAGGTCCTACGGTACAGCAGTGCCTTCCTGAATCCTGTGTGACCGGGAGGTGGGGTGTATGGTGATACAGCAGAGTCAATTTGGATGTCTCATAGGCTATCATAGATGCTGGGTGTCAGAATTTAGATTAATGTGAGATGAGGCGGCTCCATTATGTTTCTAGAATTCTAGAAGCATTGGCTAACATCACCACACGATAAAGATCCCTGCATGCACCGCCACAGCGCATTAATATTCCTCCAGCTTCCCGCAGCCGGATCGGCCGCGGAAGTGGCTGAGGCCCGGCTTGGTTCCCTCCCATTGCTGCTGCTTGCTGTTGCTGCTGCTACTGCTGCTGCAAGATCCCCGATTGACAACTTCACCTCTTCTCCCCTCCTCTCTCTCTTCTACCATTCCTTTCAAGCCAGCGAGAGAATTTCGATTCAATCGTGTCTCCAATTACTACGACTATCTACTGTTTCTACTTATCTACTTATCCCCCAACCAATCCACTCCTTCGGCCAGTTTGCGACTCGACTGTCAAACCCCCCTGGTGCGCATCAGATTACGGCCCCCCTCCTTCTCCTCCTCTCCTCCTTCAGATCTCCGCTCGCTCTCCACACCGGCATTCCACGCCATGTTCCATGCGCTCCGAAGATACTGAGCGGAGAATCACAAAGCACACCGACGAACCTCCCCACATTGTTCCCTCACGCAGCGGCGACTGCGTGCAACGGACGCAGTGAATCCGCCCACCCCGTTCGACCCGAGTCCGAGAGAGGAGATCGACCGACGGAGCGACTGGTCTCAATCTTTCTTCTTTTTCATCTTCTTCTTGCAGCCAAGCCAGCATTGTTAACTAACCTTCGCACATCTAATCCACACTCATCGCTCATTATAATCACTTATTCCTAATAATACTCGCCCCGTGCTCTGTCGCCTACCATGTCGTCCATGCGGGGTTTGGTCCAGTTCATCGCCGACCTGCGAAACGCACGAGCGCGCGAGCTGGAGGAGAAGCGGGTAAACAAAGAGTTGGCCAACATTCGCCAGAAGTTCAAGGGAGGTAGCTTGAATGGGTACCAGAAGAAGAAATACGTCTGCAAGCTGCTCTACGTCTACATCCAGGGCTACGACGTCGACTTCGGCCACCTGGAAGCCGTCAACCTCATCTCCTCCACCAAATACTCCGAGAAGCAGATTGGTTATCTGGCTGTGACTTTGTTCCTGCACGAGCAGCATGAACTCCTGCACCTGGTGGTCAACAGTATTCGAAAGGATCTGCTGGACCACAATGAGCTGAACAACTGTCTGGCGCTCCATGCGGTGGCCAACGTCGGTGGACGGGAGATGGGCGAGGCGCTCTCGACGGATGTGCACCGGCTACTGATTTCGCCGTAAGTTGACTGCTTGATGGTTCGGGGCAGGAAAAGGGATTCTGGGTGATTTTCAGGTCGGGGTTGCTGATTCTCGTGACTAGGACCTCCAAAGCCTTCGTAAAGAAGAAGGCCGCCCTTACCCTTCTCCGATTGTATCGCAAGTACCCGGGCATTGTACAGGCCGAGTGGGCGGAACGCATAATCTCCATCATGGATGATCCCGACATGGGTGTCACTTTGTCGGTGACTTCGCTGGTCATGGCACTGGCCCAGGACAAGCCGGAGGAATACGCTGGGTGCTATGTCAAGGCTGCTTTCAGACTGAAAAGGATTGTGGTCGACAATGATATTGCGCCCGACTATCTCTACTATCGTGTGCCATGTCCGTGGATCCAAGTGAAGCTGCTGCGCTTGCTGCAGTACTACCCTCCCTCAGGTATGTGATCATCCCAACGGTCCGCTGCGTGGTCCCTTCATGCTAACCGAACTCCAGGCGACACCCATGTCCGTGAGATCATTCGTGAATCTCTGCAGCAGATCATGAACTCCGCTATGGATGCGCCCAAGAACGTTCAGCAAAATAACGCCCAGAATGCGGTCCTCTTCGAAGCCATCAACCTTCTTATACACCTGGACACCGAGCATAGCCTGATGCTACAGATCTCTGCTCGGCTAGGGAAGTACATCCAGTCTCGCGAGACAAACGTCCGCTATCTGGGGTTGGAAGCATTGACGCACTTCGCTGCTCGGGCGGAGACCCTCGATCCCATTAAGAAGCACCAGAGTATCATTCTTGGCTCCTTGCGAGATCGCGACATCAGTGTTCGGCGGAAGGGTCTGGATCTAGTCTACAGTATGTGCGACACGACCAATGCTGGCCCAATCGTGAACGAGCTTTTACGCTATCTCCAGACGGCCGACTATGCGATCCGAGAGGAAATGGTCTTGAAGGTAGCCATTCTCACGGAGAAATACGCCACAGATGCCCAGTGGTACATCGACATGACACTCAAGCTGCTGTCGTTGGCTGGTGACCACGTCAACGAGGAGGTATGGCAGCGAGTGATTCAGATTGTGACCAACAACGAAGAACTCCAGGCTTACGCGGCACACAACCTCCTTGGATATCTGAAGACCGACTGCCACGAGAGCTTGGTGAAGATCGGCTGTTATGTTTTGGGGGAATTCGGCCACCTGATTGCCGACAGTCAAGGTTCGAGCCCGATCGAGCAATTTTTGGCACTGCAGGCGAAGATGATCACCAGCACCGACAACACGCGGGCCATGATTCTGTCATCATTCATCAAGTTTGTCAACCTCTTCCCCGAAATCAAACCCCAACTCCTGCACATTTTCCGCCTGTACAGCCATTCTCCCGACTCGGAATTACAGCAGCGTGCTTTTGAGTATCTGTCGCTGGCGACGCTTCCCACGGACGATCTGCTTCGGACGGTCTGCGATGAGATGCCCCCCTTCTCCGAACGCGCCTCAATCCTGCTCTCTCGTCTCCACCAGAAAACCGCGGGCACGACGGAGAAGAAGACATGGGTGGTGGGCGGCAAGGACGCCAATGCGGACCAGAAAGAGGTACTGATGGCGCAAAACACGGGACTGAAGCGCAGTTTCACCACGATTGTCAATGGCACCAAGACGGGAACGAACGGAGCAGCTACAGGGCCCAGTGCGTCTGGTGACTTGGCCGGGCTGGATCTCAGCGCCTCTGCTGCTCCTAACATGGCCAGTGCGGCCCATCTGACGCCCGACTGGGATGTCGGCTACAATAAACTATACTTCAACGACGAAGGCGTTCTCTTTGAGGATGCGCAGATCCAGGTCGGCCTGCGATCGGAATACCGGGGTCATATGGGAGTGGTGAAGATCTACCTTTCCAACAAGTCCTCGTACCCGGTCGGGTCCCTTACGACCACGTTGGACAACCGCGCTGCCCCGAATCTGAAGCTTGACACGAAAAGTCTGCCCGAGCCGTCTGTGCCGGCGGCGGGGCAAACGCAGCAAACGCTGCTGGTGGAATCGCACGGGCCATTCACGGACGCGCCCACGATCCGCATCTCGTACCTTGCTGGCGCACTCCAGGCTTACACGCTGCAGCTGCCGATCCTGATGCATCGGTTCATGGAGCCATCGGCGCTGTCAGCCGAGGACTTTTTCAAACGGTGGCGGCAGATTGGCGGAGGACCGCTGGAGGCGCAGAATACCTTTGCGGTGGCGGCGCGGGCCAAGGATGTTAGCGAAGCGTTCACTCGGCGGGTGGTGGAAGGATTCGGCTGGAAGATCCTGGACAACGTCGATCCAAACGGGAAGAACATTGTGGGTTGCGCTGTTTATCAGTTTGTCAACGGGAAGACGGGCTGTCTTCTGCGACTGGAGCCCAACTATGAGCGGAAGGTAAGATTTAGATTTTACTTCAACGAGAAAAGATCGATGACCGACTGACCAATTACAGATGTACCGAGTCACTATCCGAGCCACGCAAGAAGCCGTGCCGCAAGCACTGGCCAAGCAGATGGAGCAACGGCTGTCACAAGGAGTATTGTAGGGAGAGAGAGCATCGGAAGACCGGGTTCGGTTCATTACTCCTCCTCATCAAAACTAATTTACTTATTCCCCTTTACTTCTTATGCGGTTGTCCTTCCTTACTCCGGGACGGGGCGCGGGCATATCCATGATGGCCGCAGGCACTTATGTATTTACTTGTTCCGACCTTCTGACCACCTACCGTATATACCATTTTTGCATGTGGGCAGTAATTTCGATTCTGATGTTAGCGGATGGGTAATGTGGGCAAGTGTACGCGCGTTGCTGTGGCGGTCTGTGTAAATCGCATAGTGGAGTTGGGCGGGTATGACGCTGATGCCTATTGACTTTTTTCATTTTGGTTTGTTTCTTTATGTGCCCTGTGAATCGTACTAGGGACTCATAAGTGTTGACTCTGTCCACGGTTACTGGGCCTGATCAGGTCGAGACGCCTCCCAAACTCTATCTTCAGGATAGTCAGATATGATGTCGACAGACGATGATGTTATCTGATCGATGATGCAGTGTCTGTCGA